TATATAGGACTGCTATAATATGTAGATGTACCTCGTATTTTGGTTGCAATCGGGCCCAAACGTATATAAATATATTATATATTATCCCTCTATTACCGGCTCAGTGATTCGTTCTTAACTCTATATTTGTAAATTGACATTTTTTCTTTAAAAAATTTGAATTAGTGTTTTTATCTTCGGTTAAGGATTTTATGCCTTAGTAAATCTGTCCAATTTTAGAATTATCACATTTTAAAGTTGTTTAAGTGCCGCTAAGCCTTTAATGGCGGCCATTGATGTTTAAATTTGAAACAGGAGACTATGGATTTGTTGCCAATCTAGAGAAACTTAGCTTCGAAACCAACAAAGATAACGCATTTCATTTTTTTGCCAATTAAATCATGCTAATTTTTTCTGGAATTTTTTCGCGAGAAAATAAGCGTTTTTGGGTTTACTTCGTAATTTTTAATATAGACATTTTTAAGTTTTTATGTATTTTGCCTTCTCGCGCGAAGAACTGAATTAATTAAATGAGAAATACTCAATCGTCTGTGAAAACTGTTTCTTTTTTGTTTTATTTGCTTAATTTCTTTTATACATAGTTCTAGCTTTATTATAGTATTTGAATAGAACATGTGGCAACGATTAGATAATTCTTTAAATGATATACATTTTGTGCATTCTGAGTTATAATATGAAACTGAAATAATGTAACTGTTAAGTAAACCTAGCGCCAGAGTGTCGCATAGGTAAACAAGTGAATTTTAAAGAATGCATTTATTCTATTGTGGTTTATGCGCTGTCGGCGAAGTAGGTTTAATTCAATCTAATAAGTTTAAATAAAATGCAAGAAAAAATGCGTATAATTTAATATTCCGTACAAGGAAGTCATGTGGTGTACACATCAGATTTTCTTTTTTCGTTTCCTGGTAGCGGTCAATTTGAGACGAGTACTAGTTTCGCCAGTTAGTCAAAAGTCAACTGACATGCGTAATGGTATAAGTAAGAGTTATCAACTATCTCCGAAAAGTCACAATTGATGGCGCACACTTCCGAACCTGGAATCGATTGATAGTCAGGGCCCGATCTTTGAATCTCTTCTTACTTTTATAGAGTTCTTGACATAAAACTGAGTGCTTTGAAATTGTATGTTACAGGATATTCTATACCATGCTGCTTTTCATTTTGGCTTAACGCAATGTAGCCTTTCATGGCACGCCCTAAGCTTAATATTTGTAAAACAATCAACATTTTTATATATACATATATATATTTCAAATGATGGGAGCTAGCCACTATAGGCGTTGGCCACCACCAAGCCGGAAGTGGTGGTCACTCTATTACGATGGTACCTAATAGATGGGACACCTTTGCCTCCTATAAAGGGATAGCCACTTTATACACATGACTTTTCGGAATTCGAACCATCGAAAAGACTTTCTTCTATTTCAAAGATTTCCCCTGGTTATCCTATCTTTTTCCGTTCTTGGGCCAAAACGTCTTTGGAGCAATAATTATTCATTGTGACATGTGAAGTTCTTTCTCGGAAATTTCGATGGGTGTCATAAGATTCATTTATTTAATGGACCACCAACGACCATTAAATAAATGAATCTTATGGCAGTTGTGGAGATGGGAATTCTCAAATAAATTGCCATACCTGATGCCGATTCGATTCTTATAAGCGTGGCATCTCCACCTAAACCGGTCTTCTTTTATAAATAAAATCATATTACGGAGATTCGCTCTGTAGGGATAATACGACATCGTTGAAAATACGTGATTAAATCGTTCTTGAAAAAGAAGCACAGTTACAACGAGAAACTTCGGAAGTCAAAGCAAAATACGAAAAAAGAGAAATAAAAAAGACCACCGCAAAATAAGAAGTTAAGATGTTTACAGGTTACTTACGATTTTTTCCCTTCTCCGCAGGTTAACTGGGTATTTCTTTACAAAATTTGTTTAGATTGCCGTCACACCAGATTACGGTGGAAAAGTACCAATATTTACTGTCTCACTAAACGCATGATTTGTTTGCTCAATAAAGAATACTGGTATTCTGAAAAACAGCAAAGTTTCTAAAAATTCCCCGAGAAGCTTTTTTAAATTTCTGTAAATTTTCCTTCTATTTCAAAATCTACCTTAAAAATATTCATAAAGATGAACGTAAAAGAATGAAACTGATATGCATTAATAATACGTATGATGACACGTACTATAGTTATTCATCTGTGTTGGCAATCCGGCCAGAATATACTTACGCATATGTGGCATACCTGCATCCATGAAGAGTTAGGATCGAGCAATTAACATGACATTTGAGATACTTTTACGGATTACGCTTGTGGCAGCCTTCATTCCTACAGGCTTTGCAACACACTCAGTAGGTGTTGCGGAAGAACGATGAAGACTGCCAGAACTGTGGGCAAGACAGTTAAGGGATAAGGTTCGGTTCCAACAGGACGGTGCAACTTACGTATGGGATATACTTTGACAGGCATTTCTAAATAGTCTAATTTCTCGCTCTGCCGATTTGACTTAATTGTCCTATTTCCTAGATTTTACATCTCCGACCTATTTCCTCTGATGTTACCTAAAAATAAAAGAATTTTTGCACATCGGTTACTGTCGACCGATGACCACATAAAATATACAAAACTACCTCTTTCAAATAACCTTAACAGAGAGATAATCCAAAGCTGTTAGATTTTGAAACAGTGTACCGGTGTTGAGCTGATATGCAATGGGTAAATATTAAGCTGAAACGTATGCTTTTTGATCAAATATGCAAAAGTAAAGAATGAATAGGACTGTAATACTATTAAATTCTGTGTTATGTGTTGAACATTCATTTTTAACTTCAGCAAGAATACTTGTTTTTTTTTACAACTTACCTTCTAACCAAAGTGTTTTGAGCAACGTAAAACCATTTTTGGCTCACAGGATCGAAAGCTTCGATTGTGCTACAGGTTTTGTCACCGCTCCATCCGAGAATGGCGAAAAGAAGATTACGAGGTTGTCGTGAATAATTTCTCTCTAATTCTTTCATTGCACTACCTTTCACATCCGGTCGGCTGAGACTCTTTGGCGTCGAGAACCTAAAATAGGAACACTGGTAATTACCTATTCTCCCATTAACCATTTTTGTGAAGCTGTTTCCAAAACGTGTGACTTAGTGGCAATAATTGATAATCATATTAACACAGCGCTTTTATAAAGTCTTCGCTTTGGTTTTATATAATCCCTATTACTCCTCGACAAGTCATTTAAAATATCAATGATGGTATCTTCGTATTAAGGCGGCATCAATTGGCGAATTTTTACAGAAGAAAAAGAATGACAACTTTACTTTCAAAAACCTAAATGATAAAATGCATATTTTGCGTTATTTATCCCGAAAATCCATCAACAAGCCGACTTGCAAGAATTTTTTCTTTCTTTTCCTCTGGCGGAAATTTCATTGTGATCATTTGCAAAGCAAAAGCAAATGTTCCTTTCAGCAATTTTATATAAAAATGCTATATTCCTCCATGTTAGAATATTCGCATATGTCAAAACAAACCTACCTACCTAAGAGGATGAATTTTTTTCTTACTGTTATTTTTATATATATGTCAAAACATATATATAAAAATAACAGTAAGAAAAAAATTCAAAATTACACTTATTTTTTACTAAAAGTTGCTATCTGCAAGAAGATCAGCAGAAATTTCTTGAACACAATCTGTAATTTTAAAGCAGTGAAAACTAAATATTAAAATTTTCAGAATGACATTTATTCATATGATTGTAATACATTGAAGTAACAGTAAAAGTATACAATTGGGTGCCCCTTGTTTGTTTCGCGATTCTTTTATGACGCCAAGATCGGCGCCAGGAAAGCACAATTTCAAGATGGCCGCTACATAAAAACAAAATAACAAGGAATTGCAGATACTCGGTGCTATATACTATCCATGTCATCAGAGAATTGCACAACCTAGGCATTGTGCACTGATTTAACTTTGTCCATGTGCACATCGATCAATTTTCTAAATAAAATCAAGAAGCTAAAACAAAGTTAAAACTATCGCGGTAACCAAAAATGGGGTTTCATCGCCAAAATTAAACAAAATTTGTCACCAATGGAAGGGGCACCCAATTCTACACTAGAGCCTAAGTTACTACTAAATAACTCACTTTTTTAATTAAACTAAAAAGAAATATACGAAAGCATCTCAAGAAGGACAAAACTAGAGAGCAAATAATGGCAACCTATTTTCTTTGTTTTATTTATTAGATTTTTCTACGACGCACACAGAAAAAAATAATATTTGCATGTAAATTATTGTAAACTAATTTGTTTCTTACAACACATTTCAGCTGCAACAACACCTCATGACGTTTCGATTTTCTTAAAGTTTGTAATCGTGGAGGAAAATTACTAGGAAGTGTCTTCATCAACAATTTCCAGATAATCATCGGTAGTCAGGATCTTATCGTGGACTTATTAATTTTCAATTGAAAAAAAAATCTCATGTAAATGTACTCAAAAACAAAGTGAGTATTCTTGTTTCAAAAATTCATAAATTTATAAGGTATTTGCTTCCTCTTTTCAGCATGCCTTTACGATGTAACAGTCAGCACACACGGCGCCTATTCCTGTCTCCTGCTTCAAACATCATCTGCAGTGACGCCTGAACTAAAAGATGGTGAATGATGATTCTTTACCATCAGAATTTAGCGATTGGTTCCCCTGATCCCCAGTCGTCCTTTAAAAGAGTGGAGTATATAAGGTATTTTCTCCTTCTTTTCAGCATGCCTTTCAGCATTCCACAACAATGAGCCTTCGTGGTGTAACGATTAGCACACTCGGCGCGTATTCGAGAGGTCCAGGGTTCGAGTCCCGGCGAGGGTATTGCTCATTTTTGATGTCTTCTGCTTCAAAAATCCTCTACAACTGAAAGTATTTACCTTTTGATAAGTACTAATAAAAGTTAATCAAATTTGTATCTTCATATCATTTAATAAGATTTATATCATATTTACGAATGTATTCGCGGGTGAAATGTATTCGCGGGTTGTATAAAATTAGTTCGGGGACCGCCTGCGGTCTATGGGCCGCCAGTCTGAGACCACTGACTAAGGGGCATGCCTTCGTGCAGCTCGCTTTCACGTTACTTATGGAAAACACCACAAAAACTGCATCAGTAGAGCCTGTTAGTCAGGTTTTGGACCCAGATTGAGCTTCGAAAATTCGATGATCCTATCATTTAATGAATAATACCTCTAAGGATTATTTTAATTTGTATGAATTATACTTATTTTAAAATTGCTAGGAAAAGTAGATCAGCAAGTAAAGGTCATAATTATTCCCGTATCTACAAATAAAGCTATATGTATATACACGCTGAAGCAGGCTGTCTACTATGCAATTTATAATATTAATTGTTATAAGTATTTAATTTCCAGAGCCGCCACTGCCTAAGTTACACCACAACTATTTACTCGAATGTATCACCGAACTCGGCCTGAACTAAAACTCCGATGAACTGGTGGGATGCGTGAGAGTTTTCATGTTTTTTCTCGGGTGTAACCTGAACACGAGCCCGTTTCCTATTAAGAAGTCCTACATGAATTTGCGGAACGGATTAACAGGATTTCCATTATTTTCAATGGGGAAGTACGAGAAATTCGCTATACGAGCTCAATGCTGGAAAGAATTAAACTCTTATATTGAGGTTACACTGTATAAGAAATAATAATAAATCGAAGAATAAAGCTCATTGGAACTTATTTTACTCACGAAGTTTCTTTAGAACTTAAATGCAATTTGGCAAACATCGGGCTCAACATCTGCACGTGGAAAGATGCATCCTCGAGCGGGAACTTCGGAATAGCATGAACGTAATAAGGCGTCCATTCCACAACAATGAGCCCATAATTTCTTTTCTTTTGTATAACCTGTGGGCATAAGCAAACAGCATGTCAGAAATAATCGTGCGATATTGAAGAAAATAAACGAGAGAATGGGAGTAAACTTCATTATCTTTTACATATTGATTCAATCCATAATTATTTCGTTCAGTTACGGTTTTATTCAGTACTATAGGTTACTCAGTTTCATTCACTTATCTGTTTCAGTTCATTCAGTTCAATCATGCAAAGAATTTTAAAACTCCCCAAGAAAGGATACCTTTTCCCCTCAATATGTTTCATAGCTAAGTTGAAAAGTATACACTGCAGCATCGATTTCTGGTTATTTTCAAATTTTGATCAAAAATCATTAGCATTTTTATGTAAATGTAATCGAATTCGTTTGCATGTTTATTTATTTTCTATCAATAATGTAAGGAACTAATTTCATCAATGCAATTTCTATAGCAGAAGGACATACATTTTTACTTCCTCGTACGAAGTAAAGGAAGTACTGTAATCAAGAAAAATTCCGGGTATCATATATCAACGAAAATATCCACTTTGACCGGTTTCGAATGAAACGTAACGAAGTTTTTGAGTGACATCTGTACGTAAGGACAGAATAAAGGACTCCTTTTCCTCAAACGAATTACAAAACTGATTTAAAATGCATTCAGAAGAGATTTTTTCGTGGCGTCTGTATGTACGTGTGTATGTATCTCGCATAACTCAAAAACAAGTAGCCTCAGAAAGTTGAAGTTTGTATATGTGCTATAACATGTAGATGTGCACCTCCCTTTTTGGTTGCAATTGACCCAAAAAACATATATAAATATATATACATGTATATACCCACTCTATTACTCGGCTCAATTGTTTTATTCTTATATGTCGGTAAATTGTGCGTTTTTTCATTCAAAATGACTGAATTATATAGTTCTTATCTTCCGGTTAAGGGTTTTATGCCTTGAGTTAATCTGCATGCAATAGCTGTAAAATTATCAACAATTTTAAAGTTGTTGAAGTGCAACTAAACGTATTTTTTTTACTATAGCAGTCATCTTTGTTTACATTTGAAACTTAGAAGAATAGTTAATTAAGTCAGTTTCTGCACCCTTATGGTCTTTTTGTCGAGTGGGACTAAAAGGTAACCTGTAGCTTTGTGCAACGAAATATCTGCCTTCTTGCCTTCTGGCCAAATTGCTTGTTTTTACATAGAAACTAATTTTAACTAATTTTAGTTGTAAAATTTTTTTAATTGTTTTAACTGCAATTGGTGTTTTATGCTTTTCTATATCTTTCAATTTTTAATGAAGATATTTTATGTATTTTTTCCTTGCCGAGAAGTGATAACTGAATTAATTGAATGAGAAATCAATCTCTAAGAAATCTATCTGAGAAATTCAAGGAAATAAGTTTAAATGAAATTCAGCAAAAAAAAAAAAAAAAAAAAAAAAGCGCTCAAACTATGGGTTACTATAAATTATTGGTCCAGCAATAGGTGGCCATAAATTGCATCGATCATCATCTACCGCCAAACGTTACATTTTCCGCCAAAAACCCGGAACCCGGGTGCTACTTTGGTAGACGGTTGCACGGATTTTGCCGATTTTTTGGCGATTTTTCTTTTGGCGAGTAATACGACTTATGGTAAACTCATTGCTGGATAAGTTATTTATGGTAACCGATACTTTGTTGTCATTTTATTTAAAAAATAATGAGTTTTATTATGCATAAATTCCGTGTTTTAAATATTATTTATGGCTTCTAAATATTAAAAATCAATTTAATTTTGCATTTTTATTTGAAATAAAAATTTTGTTGTTTATAATACTTTACATAATTTTATGTTGTGGATGATGTAATCAATGACGTCACCTTACTTAAAAAGTAATTGGTTTTATAAATTTAATAAATATCTATAAATTTAATCTATAATTTATAAATTAATGTTTTAAACATTATTTATGGCTGTTAAATATTAAAATACAATTTAATTTTGCATTTGTTTTAAAAATGATTTTTATTATGATTATTTAAATAATTTAATTCTTTGTGCGATGTAATCAGCTCCTTGATTGGTGCAGACTATTTGTGCTAACGAGCTATAAAGCTCCCTATTGGTTTGAACATTTGCATTACCGCGCCATTTAAAATTTTATTATTCATTCTCTTCGAATTCCTCAGATTTCAAATGGAATGGATATGTCCGTTTCAAAGATGAATGTTGTTATTGGTAATTACCAAGAATTATTGGTATCGGAATAAAAAAATTGCCCTTTGAGATTTTATTTTGACCAACCTGTCTTTCCTAATCAAAGATTTATTTATAAATTGTTAATAACACGTCAGGGGAAATTTATTTTAAATTTTTGGAGAAAACCTCGCTAATTGCTTCTTCAATGAAGTGCGAGATATGTGCATCACAGATGAAGATCGTTAGAAGACATTTTTTTTTGGGTGGTACTTATCAATATACGACAGTTAAAATACTTTAAAAAAACGTAAGTACATAATTTTCTTTTACTTTATAATTGTATATTTCAATTTTTTTTTAAAAAATGAATACAATGTTTTCAAAAATTCCTGAGATATTTATCGCCACATATGTTTTAATGTTAAATAATTAAATCCTATAAAACTTATTTTAAAGTATTTAAGTAATATTTTAATTCTTTTGAACGTTGGTATGATGTTTTTAATTCGATATTCAATTTAAGTAACATTTTAATCCAATTAAATGTTGGCGCAATGTTTTATTCTATTATATGAAAGTAATAATTTAACCTTACTTTAGCATTTTATACTCTTAGTAAATGTATTTATTTACATTTGCCAGCCATCTTAAAAAACAACGTTTTCAACAAAAAATTAATTTTTAACGACATTAATTTTTTTAAAGTTTCGAATACTTTTACTATATGCGAAAAATACGTAAAAACAGCATTTTTCAAGATGGCTGACGACTGTAAAAACCGCGCCAACAATTGCGCCAATGTAAATCGTCAAAAATCCGTGCAACCGTCTACCAAAGTAGCACCAAAACCCGTGCGCCCGGCTATAAAAGTAGCACCTGAATTTACCATTAATATCAAAATAAGTTAATTTAACTAAGCAACTAATTTGAGAACATCAGAGAATAGTTAATTGGACAGTTAGTTTATTGATACCGAAAAATTAATAAATTGATTAAATAAGTAATTCATAGCAAATACATTACATACAGTAAATATGCTATAGCACTACATACTATAGCAAATACATTACATAGAGTAAATCGCAAATTTGATTTTTATAAACTGACGAAAAAGCTAAAGTGCAGAATCGCCCACTTATTTGATTGGGGTTTGTTTGGCGATTTTTACAAGAGTAAGAAGAATTGGATTTTTGTCAATTTTCTGTGACTTTTTAAGTGAAAATAGGTCAATGTGTACATCCCAATTCTGGGATTTTTTTAAGTGAAAATAAGTCGGTGTGTACATGGATATCGAGTATGTGCAATTCTTAAAAACGCGCCAAGCAGTGGGCGATTCTTTACTTTCCCCGACGAAAATTTCCTTTCCCAAAAATAACAAAAAGCGATACATTAAATCTAAAAATAAAAATGAAAAATTACATGAAGTGATGGTACTTTTCCGTTTGGCCGGCGCAAATCTCGCCAAGAAGACTTTATTAGCGACAACATACAGTATACACATAAAAATATTTAAAAAAAAAATGTTAGTTCTAAGAATTCTTTTTTTGAAGGCATAAACATTTTAATATCGCTTAAAATTTTATAAAAAGCCAATAAATTTGTAAAAAGACATTAAGAATTTACTATGCTTTCATGGTTCAACATCCTGATTCGCCGGTTCATATCACGTGACCCCAAGCGATCTCATTCACGTAAACTACAAAAATCTAATGCTCTCAGTAATTATCTACATTAATTTCAAGTTAAATCTTAATTTGGAACAGAAGCTTAAATGCAAGAAATATTTCAATTCGTACGAATAGCTTACTCAGAAATTATGTAAAGCTGCAGTGCTTTACTTCGCTAATGCATTCTCATTAGAATTGATGAATTTAACCTTTGACTTTACCTTTTCTATATTTTCGGCTTCGAGTAAGCGCTGTGATTGCATCCTGATTGACTTAATTACCGAAAATAAACTTAGACATAAAACTGAACAATTTGATAAAAATTCTATGTAATTATATGCCACTATTGAAAGAAACAATCAATATGATAAGAAAAAGCTGTAACTTGTTTTAAAAATGAGGCGTAAAAGGAATATTCCGTTCCAGCGAGAATTTTCCGTTTGGCATCGGTTATACCATTATTGGCGACTTTATCGCTTGCGCCGGCAAAACGGAAAAGTACCGAAATGATTTTAATATGTAACATTTAAAATGATGTGTTCCCCCCTAAAAAATGTCAAACATTTCTAGCATACACTAATAATTAAAAAAAATCAAATTTAATCCCGAATTCTAGTGAGCTATTTTATTAAAGATATTGCGGCCTCTCATTTGAACTCTTTCATTTATTTTCTTGAAAAGTTAAAATAGCAGTTTCTGCTACCATTTGCTAACAATAAAATAAAATAAAAATACACAACGCAACATTAAATCTTTATCAAGCATTTCCATACCTATCACTGCTTCAGTATATCTTATCCATTGCTTTGTTTTGGAAGAAAAATAAATATTTTATCGTGTAAAGCCCTATATACTTAATTCCGGTGATATCAGTTAGATATCACAGCTTTCAGATAAATTTGGAAGTTATATCTTATTTACCTTTAACAGATTAGCCAACGATTCAACTCCAGTTCGAATACTTCTGCCACCAGTCTTTCGAAAAATACATGAAACTGCGATTTCATTATCGTTTAACTGTACATCGTGTTGAATGTTCATTTCCAAAGTTCCAGCACTAGTCGGTACTTTCGTCTGAGTCTTATATTTGCTTTGGATATGAGTAAAAATAACACGTAAGGTAATATTTAAATTGACGGAATCGAAAGCGGTATGTAGCGAAAACACCGGTGAGCTTATTTTCTCCTCCATTATAATTCTTTCTGATGCAAATCTGTCACCGACATATTCTTTTCAAGTTCTAGTAACCAGTTATGATGTTTGCCTGAAATATTTGCACGTAAATTTAGAATTCTTTCTTTGATTAATCTTTCTTACGTAGTAAAATAAAGATCCTTCAGTAAATTTTAAATGTCAAGTTTACCGCAGTTCTGCAACGTTGTATCCGATATCAGTGCAAAACGGGTTTGATTGTATCCAAGCAACATTGCAGTTCTCAAGACTTAAAATTTCAAAAGACAAATGACTGCTTCGCGGGAAAAATCATACTTGTTTACATTCATGCTTTCATGATGATCATGTTGAACAGAAAGCTATTGTCTCGAGCTATGCATGCGTATAATGAATGATACAAATGAAAATACAAGTTGTCATTTATATAGAAGAATAAATGAAAAGGATTCATATGCAGTTTCATGACGCATACAAGTGCAGAAAAATACTTAAATGTCTTAAATAAATGTGCCGACTTAAGTTAAAATTGAAATAAATTTTTCTTTCATATTCCTATTATTACTTGTTTCATATTATTAATTAAAATTGTAACTACGAAAAATATTTGAAGTTGAAAACTGCCTTAATGTTATGTAGTTAGTTTATAAGGGTTAAATTCATTTTGCGATGAAAACAAAATAATTATTACTTTTCAAAGAAACTCATTTATTTTCTTAATTTGCATAAATAAAAAAAATGTGAGATTAAAATGATTTTTTCTATCATATTCCCTTTATTATTTGTTTCATATTATTGACTAAAACTGTAACTACGAAAAATATTTGAAGCTAACAACTGCCTTAATGTTATGTAATCAGTTTATAAGGTTCATTTAGCAATGAAAACAAAAGAATTGTAACTTAAAAAAAAAACATTTATTTTCTTAATGTGCATGCAGTTCTCAATTTTATATGGCTATAAGAAGTTGCATGTATGATATTCCTTTGCGTTGTGAAAAAGCGACGGTACCTAGAGCAACCAAATTTTGAATAGCATAGTTCTCCACCCACACATGGACACCTGCCCCGAATTTTGAATTTCCAATTTGTTTTGTTACTTTTTATTTAATATTTTGTAAAGGTTTAATGAATTTTTTATTAACAAACTCAACGATCTGAAAGCGAGCAATGTCAACACTCTGCAAAAATAAAACATTTTTATCTCCAGCGCTCGAGACTGTTGCCATTCGGAAAGATGCAAAGTATTTATTTATGTTTCAGGTTTAGTAATAAATGTTATTAAACTTGGTTCTACGAAAGCAATGTGTTGCCACGGCCAGAAATAAAATACTTTTATCTTCCGCACGCCAGTGTATTGAATTCAATAAAGCCTAACATACTTTCAGATTTAATCTGGAAGGTTATTGAGTAATAATTTATAATTTAAAAGTAATAAACACAGTTCTTAAGAATTTTGTTTTACTTTTTAATGCGATTGATTTAAATAAACATGTGTTAAGATCGTGAGAAGTCTAATTACACTGCTGGCCATTAAAATTGCAACACCAGGAAAGAATAATCTGACGAACGAAACAGTACAAAACCACATGAAAGCAAGAAGAGATAGCATTTAGACGACTCCAGGAGAAAGAAACGACATCTAAAGCACTGCATAAAATAAAAGTTGTATAGTGGATTTCTCATTCGAAAAGCGCTTTGTAAGGTCGTAGCTTGCTCGGATTATCATGTTATGTTTCGAATAAGAAGAAATGCTTTCCAGCAAGTGTCGGAATTCGATAGAAGCAGGATCGTTGACAATCGAGAGTGTAAATTATCGTTCCATGATATCGCCCGTCGAATTGAGCAACCACTGTCACGACAATGTGGAATTAATGGGCTGCTGAGTGTCATACTGAACGGCATGCAGGATCTCAACGCCCTCTCATGACTAACGCCCGAAAGGACCGACATATTGTAAGGTCAGCCTTGCAATACCGTAAAACCACATCAAGGACCATGAGTCAGGAAATGGGCATGTTTGAAGCATGCCCAGTATCCGCCTGTGAGTCTAGTAGCGTGGCCTATCAGCATGGCGACCATTACTTCGGCTATCCTTGACAATACAGCATAGAGAGAGATGGCGACTCTCATGCGCCGAACGACGAAGCTGGCTAGAGGAGTGGCACAATGTCGTCTTTTCAGACGAGTGCCGGTTCTGCGTGCAGTATTTTGATGGCCGTATACGTGCCTGGAGTGTCCGAGGAGATCTCACGTCGCCTGCTTGCATTCGATATAGGCATAGGTGCTCTGCACCTGGTGTGATGATTTGGACAGCCATTGGCCAACGACACGCACATCTCTAGTTGGGATCGACGGTAATTTGAACTCAGATCGGTATATTTCTGAAATCTTACATCCACAGTGGTTATGCTCTATCTGCGAGGCCCGCCAAACGCCATCTTCCAACAAGATAATGCTAGATCACATGTTGCTCGTCATGTTCTGACCTTCCTCTATACATAGGGTATTCGATTGCTGCTGCCTTGGCCTATACCTGTACAGTCTCCAGATCTGTCACCCATTGAAAATATCTGGTCATGGCTTGCTGAGAGACTTGCTCGCCACCCCTCTCCAGCTAATACAGTTGATGAAGTATGGCATGGACTTAAAGCAACATGAAAAGAGTTGCCCGTTTCTGTCATTCAAGCCCAATTCGACTCCATGCCTAACCGGATAAGAGCCGTTTTAGCTGCCTGCGGTGGCAGCTCTTTCTACTAATTTCGCCCTCCTGTAAACCCCCAAACTGCTTACAATTTTAATCATTTTGTCTTCGTGCTATCCGTTTACGTACAATAAATATCTTTTTTGTATTTGCTTTCCTTCATGGTGTTGCAATTTTAATGGCTAGCAGTGTAGAAATATTCCAGTATTTTTATGAAATTACAATAGCTGGGTTCATTAAAATCATTATATGATTTTTTTTCTTTTTTTATTATAATTATTTTAAGCGGCTAGGTTTCAAAGAAATAATATAACGAATATAAAAATATGTTATTATCAACCTCTAACACTCTACCGAAAAATCTAAACGTATGCTTTACAAAAATAGATATTTTGTGAACTTGCTGTTGAATTGAATTTTATGTGGAGTAGGTGCAAAGAACGTGATATTTAATAAATAAATAGATAAAAAAATTAATCATAAAAAGACAAAAACAATTTTCTGTTAGCTATCTTAACTCAGAAAATTGAATATTGATATGATAAAGTGTGAAAAGACTGAAAAAAATATCAAAACATTAGCTAACACTTAACACTACATCGAGAATTCTAAACACATACTGCTATACGTTTTTAAAAATTATGTGATTTGGTTGTAGTTGGCTTAACTGCGAAGAAAACGATGCTTAATAATCAAGCTAAAAAGACAAAAATAGGGGAGGTTATCATGAGTGAGCACAAGAACAGACCGATAGAGTACGAGCTCAGCGAGATCGCAAAACAGCTTAATAAGCCCTTTTGGGCGATCGTTAAAATCTGAAACCTTTCAGATTTGTTTACTATTATTACTATTATAATTTTCTTTTTCTACATAATTTCTTTGTCCGATTAAATATTTATTGTAGTTCAGAAACATGCGCAGCCAGCTGCCTAATATAATGAACCCCACAAAAAAAGATAGTGTCCTTTCATAAAAATATTGAATATTTTTAGTTAAATATATTTACGTATTAGAGCCACTACCTTGGCGCAATTTGGCGATATTTTGGATGCTATTTTATAAAGATTGCCAAACTAGCGATATTTATCGTTAATTGTGCAAACATTATCAAATATCAACAATAATGTTTAGCAATTTAAAATTCCATGATAAATTTACTAACGCCTCTCGGGCGTTAGTCATGAGAGGGCGTTGAGATCCTGCATGCCGTTCAGTATGACACTCAGCAGCCCATTAATTCCACATTGTCGTGACAGTGGTTGATCAATTCGACGGCCGATATCATGGAAATTAATTTATTCCATGATAAAATTTATCATGGAAATTAATTATCCATGATAAATTCCATGATAAAATTTTAATTATTAAACGAGAATTATATGATAAATGAAAAAGTAAAGTACTTGCATTTTTCCCAAATTAAAGTATAAGAAACGTTATATGAAAAACACACAAAAAAAAAAAAAAAAAACATGATAAAAATATATGAAAATATGCTGTGATATATTTAATAAATTAATAAGAAAAATAAAAAGAAGTAATAAAAATATTCGAAATATATAAGTAAAATACGAAACATACCTTTAACTAAAAACGTTTTTCCGCTTGCTGGGAAATTTAACACATAAATTTATTAGCTTCAAATGCAAATAATCACGTGCTATAAGTCGTGGATTAAAATTTTAAACATTATTCTTTCATTTTAATATGTAGCTTTCTATCTAGACTAATTTTCAGATAATTTAGTTCAAAATTTCTTGTGTCTTCAGAGGAAATCATAAGCAGAGTTTTACAATTGCAAAATGAAAATTAGGCATATGTTTCTACTTTTCTTTAAGCTTACTTTCCACTGATCTCAAACTCTGTACATTTCATCTTTTTTTTTTTCTGCAACAAGGGCACAACCTTTTCGCCATGGCGAGAAGTAAAATGTTTGATCCCGTTTTTCAAAAGGCATTTACAGAAGCGATTCACAAGGAAAACCAGGTAATTAGTATTTATATATTTTTGTTTTAAAAACTCTCTTTCAGTCAACGTGGACGAAAAAAAGTAGCTCATGCGAACAATGAGATTTAAAGTTATTAAATATGTTTCATTTAACAGATTTAAGTATGATGGACTGTCAAATACACAGTGTATGCGTGTCAAATACACGAGTACGCATGTGTATGTTTATATGACTATGTGTGTACCTCGATTTAACAACCTTGCCTGATACAACGACTCAAAGTATGATGAATAAAAATTTCCAAATATTATTATGTATGATGCATTACTGTGTACTATGTGTTATTATGTATGCATGATGTATTTTTACGTATGATGCGACTATTATTATGTATATATTAAGTATGATGAAGTGCCAAATACATGAGTATGTATGTAAGTTTGTAGAGTCATTACATTATTTTGAACCAGGAGTTCATGAAAAATGAGCAATACTTTTACCGGGACACAAACTTGTACCTCTCAAATACGTTGCAAGTGTGCTACCGTTACACCCCGAAGGCATGCAGAAAGGAGCAAGAAAATACCTTACAAACTTACATGAGTATACCTGAGTATGTGTGAACCTCGATGTAATAAGTTTTCTCATATAACAACTCATATAAACTGACTGTTCTTCCATTAAATTGGTGGTTAGTAGAAACTAACAATTCTGTAAGTACTGACTGTAGAAAAATATTTTTAACACAATACCTTTATCCGTGTTTTCTTCGAATCCTTTTCTAAATAATAACGCTCTACAGTATTTTTTGCCGCCTTTCTGCATGCCTTCGTGGTGTAACAGTTAGCACACTCGGCGCGTATTCGAGAGGTCCAAGTTCGAGTCCCGGCGAGGGCATTACTCATCTTTCACGTTTTCTGTTTAAAAAAAAAAAAAACAAACACTAAAGACTCTACAGTGGCGGCCGAGCTAAAAGGTGGTGGATGATGATTCTTCACCACCAGGATTTCGTAATTCGGACCTCTAATCTCCAGTCGCCATTTAAAAGGGAGAGTATATACGGTATTTTTTCGCTCTTTTCTGCGTGGTTTCGTGGTGAAACGGTTAGCATTCTCGGCGCGTATTCGAGAGGTCCAGTTTCGAGTTCCGGCGAAGGCATTACTCATCTTTCACATTTTTTTGTTTCAAAAAAAAAAAAAAAAAAAAAAAAAAAAAAAAAAAACCTACTGACTCTACAATACAACTTATAAAAGTCATTTATAAAAAACAGATTTAATGATGAAGATGTCTAATAATTATTTCCCCATCTTAGACTCGCTTAAAATGGAACATAACATATGGCGCCTTATCTGAGAGATCTGGTGGGGTCAACTGGGATGAAGACCCCAGAGATGAGGAGGAGGAGGATAAAGAAGACGTATGCCTATATCAGCCATTGTGTATCAGAAAAATGCCAACCAGAGAAGAGAGAGCTTGGCCTACATCTACAGCATCCATCTCAAGAACTATCCCCAGAGTAACACAGCCACCGAATGTCATGAAGCCTGTTCCTCTAGAAAGCAAGAGATATATATACCAAGGTAATTAAAGCTTCCTTACGCGTAAAAAAACAAAAGTTGATGGGAAGTTGAGAACATCATCGTACAAACAGTAGTTCTAAGAAGAGTACTTTGAATTGAATATATTGCAACTATTGACTAGCGTTGATGTCAGTTAGAAAATTACGGTGGATAGTAGTACTTCTTTTTAAAATGACCATTGTGCTCAGTCTCCAAACATGGCAAACATAATCTCTCAATCTGTTAAGTGCAAATTTCAAATATACCGAAAGGTTTATGCGGTCACCGTTTAATAAGGAGGTACAGAACAGACCTTAAGACACAAAAATGGTTTTCACTTTCTTTCATCAGGATTAGTACTAATCAAGCTCGTTTCTAATTCGGCCTTAACAGTTTTATTCCTAACTAAGCTTCGGAATAAAAGAAACTCAGCAAGTTTATTCCCAGTTAAGACCAATGTGAATTTTTTCCCTTATTTGCATAATAATTTTCTACGTTTCTTCATTCCTATACGTAAATAAAGGAAGGTAAAGTTAATGCCCAGTGCAAGACATTTGAAATGTTAATTTGTTCCGTTAGGATACTACTCCGTATGAAAATTAGACTAATAACTGTTTGAGGGCTTTATTTTATAGTAGTTTAGCTCCCGTGTTTAAGTCGAATTTAAAGTGTTTCCAGGAGACGTAAGGCAAGGAAGTAATTTGTTATCATCTCTCAAAAACATTTAGCCATTAATACTATTCGTTCATAATTTTGCAGCTGTAAAAAACTTTGCTTATTTTCATCTTGGCTAAAGCCCAGAAAACAGTTCACCCACTTGTAGAAAGTTTGTTTACTTGTCTTGGATATGCTTTTTTATGATGTATTTTTACTAAGCCCACGTCTCTTCTTAGAACCAGATTACAGTTATGCTTTAACTGATTTAATATGGAATATTTATATCATTATTGGCATTATGTTCAATATTGTTTTAATGTCCATTAAGAAACAACTTTAATTGCAGTCCTGTTTGTACTGGTATTAATTAGTCACTATATCCGCACATATAGTTACTCTTTATGTTGCGGTGTGGTATGTGCTTCTTGTAAAAGTAATGAATGCACCTGCTCACAACTGTATGACAAAAGAATTATATATATAACTGAGTTACTAATTAGTAATTGAATGTTTCAGCGCTATTTTTAGTCTGGAATTATGCTGTCTGTATATAGTTTATTTAGGTATCTCATTATGTATATTCTCAGTGTGTATCCAGAAAGCACTTAGGTGTGCTTTAAAGAGAATCAATCATTTAAGCAAAAGTTTGTTAATAAAAAAGTTCTTGCTTAGTCTACTAAAAATTTTGAATAATGTCCCAATTGACGTACTTAGAATGATAAATAGAGCTGTTTCGAAACAAAATACTTCTGAATCGGTCATGAATTGTATGGAATCTTGGGTATGTGTCTTATAAATAGTTGGTGTAACACAAGTATACTGCAATACTTATTTCTGGATTCCATCAAATTTTTTCGAGAATGCAACACCACATGTGATACGTCTTAGCAAAATATGTAGTTCTCCTATATTCCATTTAAATTCCTTGCCAGCGATTATTAAGTTGGTCATTCTGCATTGTAAACTATACATCATGTTCAACATAGTCAACAAGAATATAATGGTGTATGTGCAATAAATGCACTTTGGGTGTAACATAAGCATTCTAAAGGGTGGGCCATCTAACTTTTGGAATTTGAATCAGCTATAAAAAAAAAAAAAAAAAAAAAAAAACCAATGAATATTTTATAAAAATTATGAGTCTGTTATAAAGATTACATATTACATTTAAGAATGAAACACAATATCACTCAATGACTGCCACGACTGGCTTGACAGTACGCCATCCGATCAAACCAATTTTTCAGTACAATTTCGATTGTTTGGGCTCCAATCGCATGAATGGCAACTTCGATTTTCTTGTTTCAAAGCATCAGTCGTCTCTTGAGTGGTTAGCGTAACACTTATCCTTAATGGTTCCCCGCAAAAAAAATCCAACAGGGTCAAATCACAGCTCCGAGGCCACCTTTCGGCTGATTGTCCGATTTCCAAAACAGTGCGAAAAATCGATGGTTACATTGGCTATGTGGAAAGCAACCCCGTCCTGTTAAAACTAAATGTCACCCACGTCATCCTCTTCAATTTTTGGAAACAAAAATTCGTTTAGCATGGCACGGTACCGTTCGCTAATAACGGTAACTGCGGCTCCTTGGTGACCCAACGATGCCGCCAAAATGGCCCAATGATGCCGCCGGACCCAAAACCACACCAAACAGTTACTCGTTATGTATTACTTAATACAACGAGTAATTACCCAATAACCAACAGATTAATTATTGGTTGCAATATCGTTGTAAGTAATAATAATCTGCAAGCGAAAATGTACTGTAAAATTGGGTTGATCAGATGGGGTACTTACTGTCAAACCAGCTGTGGAAGTCATTTGAATGATGTGTTTCATTCTTAAATTAAAATGTCCAATCTTTCTAATAAACTCTAAGGATTATGTTAATTTTATTAACAGTTAAATTTCAACTTCCTTTCCTGTCAAATTCTTAACTTCAACTTACTACTTTCGGCCAGAACGTAGTTTTAGAATCTTGCTGAATATTTAATGAGGAGGAGCGATATTTAAACCACGAAGTTACTTACAAAGTCGGAGAGAATCGGAGTTTCTGATTTACGCGCGTCTGCCTTTTTGCCTACTCTCTCTCTCTCTCTCAAAGCTCTTATTACGCTCGGCCGTACTCAGGCCTTTGCTAAGCTTCGTAGTCAAATAAGTTAAGGGGCCAACTCGATTTGAATCTTGATAGCTTCGGCTATATTTCTTTAGTTAATCTTAGTTTTAGTTTAATTCTTAGTCTCTTAAGTTCAAGCCCAAGTGTCGGCTTTGTTTGTACACTCCCAGGCGGAGTTTTATTAAATCTTACTGGAGTAATAAAGGGTTAGTTACCCTTCTATCTTCTTGTTTCTTGTCGCCCGAACTTAAGCGATTATTCGCTATCTAGTTCTTAAGACTCGTCACTTTCTACAGTAACTGAGATTTACACAGTAAAAGTCTTACAAAACTTATAATTTTTTAAAAAATATTCATTAGATTTTTTTAATAGCCGATTCAAATTCCAAACTTAGATGGCCCACTCTTTATAATGCCCACAGTTTGAATGTATTGGCTATCACCTTTCTTAGGGAATGGAGAGGCTTCTAATATTGTTGTTAATATAAGCTTTAAGGTATGTTTTTGATAGTGTTATGAGGTATTTCTCCCGCCTTCTTAGCATGCCTTCGTGTTGTAGGGGTCAGCACGCTCACAGCGTATTCGACAGATCCGTGGTTCGAGTCCCAGCGAGGGCATTGCTCATTTTTCACGTCTTCTTGTTTCAAAAAAGTACGTAATGTCTCTACAGTGAAGCTCTTCCTAAAATGGTCGTGGATGATGATTCTCCACTACCAGGATTTTGCGATTGGGTCCCTTAATTTCCTGTCGCCCTTTTAAACGGGAAGTATATAATGTATTTCTCCCCCTTTCTTTGCATGCCTTCGTGGTGTAGTGCTTAGCAAACTCGGCGAGTATTCGAGATGTCCGAGATTCGAGTCCCGGCGAGGGCATTGCATATATTTTTTATATGTCCTTCTTCCTCTACAGTGTGATTGTAAAGTTTTTGCATGCAGCTTTATGCATGTGTCACATTGGTAGATGGGTGCTACACTTGCACAGTATCTACTTTGCATTTTTCTGTAATCAGTATTGCATGACGTTAGTTGCTAATGTTAGTAGACTTTATGCAACTGTCTCTGTGCATTTCTATAATGTGAACTGTAACTAAGTTTTATATGAAATAAGTAGTAAATTCTTAGTATGTCCTTATGAAACCAAGTCTGCAAAGTAGTAGGTGCTGTTATTTATTAACATTGTAAGTAAGAGTAGTTATATTTATTTAGGTCGGATAACTATAAGTATCTTTTTTTTTTTTTTGGCCAATGCATATTGTTATGGTAGTTAACTGTAAGTAGCATAATTGTGAACTACGGCTCACAGTTTCACGGAATAGTTTCTACATGGCTATTTATGACATAGGACATGCAGCTCATACTTAGGCCACAGTAAATTGCATACAACTGTCTCGTTTCACAATCTGGAATTGTGAAAGTATTTAGATATTACTTATGAATTGTAACAAAGTTGCATGTTTAAAATATATGGTAATATTGTGTATCTATTAATGTAACTAAATCTGCAAACATAAGTAGGTACTACCTATTAATAATGTAAGTAACAGCAGTTATTTGCATGTAGGTAGGATATTTTTATGTATTTGATAAGTCAATGTATTTTGATTTGTATGTTATCTGTAGGTAACATCAATGTGTACTGTGGCATTTAGTCTCACGGAATAATGATTTATTACACCCTACGGCATCTAGCTGTATAAAATAGGTGTGGTAAGAAAAAAAATTCTTTTAATTGAGCATATATATGTTACCTTTAAGTCTGACATAAGTGGCAAATAAGTCTTAACGTCAGTTTGCGAGATCTCTGTAAACAATTATTTCCGAAATAAGAAAAACGTATTTTTTAAAAATTTATTTCGTTTCTTGTCCTTGCAGGTTTAAGTCATGATGGAGAAGGCAGAGCTTTGTATCTGAAACACAGGTATGAACTAAGCCCTGATGAGAAGTTCCATTTTCCTATTTGCAGTTCATGGGAATACGGCTGGAATTATGCTAGAAACATCCCTTCAAATTGTCCCAGACATGGAAGTTTATAAAAAAGAACCTACTTTTTTAAATATCATTAGCTGAATTAAACATACACAGAGTAAAGCATCTTAATTATTAGACGGAACAAGAAATCAAAACCACTACAAGGATAATGTACATTATTTCGTAATTTTAAAAGAATTTTATTAAAAAACAAATGAACTAGATTTTTATACTTATTTATATCAAGAGTATAGCTGAACGTTGGTTAGTTGTAACTCTCATAGCACCATAACCATAAAGGACCACGTTCTCACTGGGGTTTATCTGAGCTAACGGAGTCAGTTCCATGTGATGGGTCGGCTACGTCATTTGTCTCCGTTAGCTCAGGTAAACACCCCAGTGGGAACGGCCTTTTAAAGTTATGAATTGCCTTTAAAAATTTATGAGACTTTACGTAAGATTGCGTAATTTTAAGACTACGAAATGATATTGACACTGTTTTCTGAAACTTTTGCATTTGATGATGACAGCCAGAAACCAAACGAATATGTTTATATTATGTTTTGTAGAGGCTCGGCTACTTTGGAAGCATAAACTAACTTCGGTCTCAAGCTGAAAGCTAAGCGACGTATTGCTATGTTCAGTACGAAGACAGAGAAACGTAAAAAGGGTATAACTAGACCCTTTTATTAAAACCCAGAATTTAACAGAAGGCACTTTTTGTGCTTGCAGTCAGCATTTCTGGCGTATCTTAAAAGCAATTAATTCAAAGTCAAGCTAAGTTAAATCCGAACTTAGCCAAGGGCTACGCACAATGAATACCGTTCAAGTTGGCTCACGCCTGATACCGGCGTGACAAGCCTAATGATGAGAATAACGCAACGCCGCATATTGCAGACTAAGCAATTCGAGTAGTAACATGGCCTTCAGCGGACGGAACACGCTCTGATTCAACAATCGGAAACCTTCCTTTAAATATACTATGTCTTTCTACCTCATTTGAATACGCACGAATTAAAATTTGCACTCTGAAAGGAAAACGGAAAATGTTTGATGTGATAGATTATGTTAAAGAATACAGGGCTAATCTGCCTAAGTGGAGAGATGCCTTCGCGGAGGGCTTTCTAAAGTAGAAACTGACTAGTATATATTTTACGCATGGAGAAAACCAAAAAAAAAAAAAAAAACCCTGCAGCCAGCTCGTTCGCCCAGAATCGAACCCAGGTCGCAAATACCAATATTCAGAGATTTCACCGCTCAGCTAGCGGGCCGGAAACGGAAAATGAGAAAGAGACTAAATTAGTTAATATGAAATAAGTGGTTATAAAATAAATAAATACTTACAATCTCATAATTTGTACTTTATTTTAAGAGGTATAATTAGCTTTTACTGTAGTCAAAGAATTTAAAATGTCTATTCATAGCCCAGAATGCACCTCTTTTAAGGATGGTTCAAATTTGTAATTAATAAGTAATTATACAAACATCTTTTTATTACTGGTGAGCCTATAACAAAAGAGCTTACGGATGTCCCAAGTCAATTTTACACCACTCAGTTTGTATCTGCTCATAAAAAAAGGCAATTATCTATTAATAAAATGATCATGAATAAGTGAAAATAGATTTGAGTGAAATTCTATAAAAGTTTTAAAAAGATTAAATTACAGAAAATTATTCAATTAATATTCTTCTTCTAAGACAGAATATTTATATATTATTAAAATAAAAGAATATTTCCAGCACTGCCATATAAGGTGTCATATATAATATTACATCTCAGGTACGCATAATATTATTTCTTATTATTCAGTTTTACAGGCATTGATTTAGATATGGTTTCCCTTAAAACACGTTAGTGTTCCTGCTACAAAAAGCATAAATTATTGGGAATGAGATCAGAAAATGTATTTATTTTAAATATCAGTAATAAAATTGGAGGTCAGGGATGAAAACTGTAACAAGTAAAAGTTGTGAGCGTTGTTATGTAAAATATATTTGTTTCTAAAATGTATTTTACATAACAGCGTTATATATTTATAAAGTAATTACGTTATAGACTATAGAAATGTGTTTGTAAAGTAATTACTTTATTGCGAACTAGGTTGTATTGGCATGAAAATGGAAGAAAATACAGAAATGCGTCCAAAGTTTTGTAATGAACATACAATTTGAGTTACATTTTAATCTATTTTAAGCTTTGTACTACATATATTTGCTCTATGCTTACAAGCATTGGATAAAAAGGAATGGCAACTCATATCTAAGTTCTGAAAAGATTTTATTACCGTAGGTACAAACAGTTACAATCCCTAAATATAATAAACTATCTCGTCTACCTCTTCCTGTCAAATTCACTGCTCTTGATCATTCGGAAAACACAAAAGGAGCACTCCGATCAGAAAACAACTTTCTTTGTTCAACGACATTGTTCTGGTGATTTCCCAGGCCAAATATCTTGGTGTTTTATTTAATGACCGCCTTAACTGGACACTTCATGTTAATAATGTGTGTGACAGGGCACTTAAAATCATCAAATGCTTATACCCAACTATTAAGAAGTACTCTTCACTGAACCTGAACAAGAAAAGACTTATTTACCTCTCCGTTATCAGACCAATCATGACTTTCGGCCGGCATGGTTTCGCCGGCATGGACAACTATCTCCGATAAGGAACTTAAGAAGCTTCAAGTGGTGCAAAGCAGATATCTTTGCATTATTACGAATGCCCTTCTATGTGCGTAACAAATGTCTTCACGACGACCTTAAGATCGAAACGTTGGCGAAGTTTCTTATAAAACTCAATGAACGCTTCTATCAGGAAGCACAAGAATGTAATATAATGAACCACTTTTGAACTTTTCAGCTACGAGATTCTCCATGAGGACTGCCATCTTCGCCCTTTTGCAGCTTTCATGCTTAGAGATAACCAACATTTTCCTACATAAAGCTTAAATGTGTTTTCGCATCTGCTCTGTCCAAAATCTCAGCTGAATATGCGTATACAGCATGATTTTGACTTCCCCCTCATCAATCATTTAATGCAAGCAAATGGTTGTAAATATTGTGTATATAGTCTTCCAGTTTAGTAGAAAAATTTGTTCTTTATGTATTATATCCTTTCTTCAGGACTCACTTAAGCATTTCTGTCCCTGCATCGCTACATGAAGGAACAAATGAAGACAGCCGGTATACAGCTTGTAGCTTTGCAAGCTAAGCGCGGCGGCAATTGGACGCGCAAACGCACAATTTGAATAAAATATCTATTTGCTGTTGTTGTCTTGTCCAAAAGTTAGTGCAGAAAGGTGAAATAAGGCGAAAAGTATCTAAATCAGCCTTAGCGACATCGACGGTCCTCGAAGAATGTAGAAGCTGGCACTCCGGGAAGACAAAATCCACTCTGAAGAACCTGGCCAGTATGGCAGGACATTCAAAGATGTGTGCTAGACAATATTTATTTGCTGCAAAATATTTGTGCATACTATACATTATTTACAAATGTGTTTATGCAAGGAAATTTTAATACAAAAATTCTTTTACTTATTACTTCATGAAAAAAATTATTCTTAATTTTTTTTTTTAATGAAAAGTTCTTTTCTGATATGTACAGATTTTAGCCCAGAAGAGCTTTAGCCCGAAAGGGTTATTAGTCCCGAAACAGAAATTTGCGTCGTCCACTATAAACGCGAATCACTTTCAAATTGTTGCCACCAAATTTTAATACCCTGCATTACTTTTAAATAAAGTAAACAATAAAGAATCTTGCATGTATGTATGTATGTTCCTCGCTTCTTGAAAAACGGGCGTCAACTTTTGAATAATGTAATTCTCCACACGAACATGTGCACCAGAAGCCCATATTTTGAATTTCGAATGTTATATTTCATATTTTATAAAACTTTGGGAGGTTTATCTGCTTATTTTTAATTAACAGTACATTTAAAGTTGCCATTTTCCTAATTACTCTCTTTTCACTCACGCTTTTCATTCCAGAATGTAAATGAGGCAGCGAGCGTTTTTTCAGGTAGAAAAAAGTGCTATTCAAACAAGAGTTTCGGAAGTTAGTTTTAGAGTTTGCCAGCCTATTCCAGGCCACGTTGTGCCGTGATTGTTAGCGACTTGATTTAACGGCGTTGAGTGATTCTATCCATTTAGGCTTATCTCGCCGGTTTTCTAAAACCAGAGCCTTCCTTGAGCGTTAAGCTATCCGGTGAGTCGTTAGGCTAATCTACTACATTCTGAATTTGTTCATCGTTAGGTACTTCTGTTAAGCCAGAAGTGCTTGGGTTGTGTAAACCCAAGTTGGGTAACTGTTAAGTTGACATTGTTAAGTTGTGTTCGAATAAAATATACACCCTTCTTCTGACTTTTGTTTTGTTCCACAAGGCTAGAAGATAATTCTTCAATAGTCTTTTTGACTATAGTGTATGCTCCCTAAGAGAAGTAGACTTTATAATTTTAATGAATTTTTTATTAACAAACTCAACGGTTTCAAAGCGAGCAGTGGCAACACTGTAGAGTCTTCCAATGTGTTTCGGAATCATAAACTGGTAGACCTACTGATAGATGAAGTAGAGAATTTTCGCTAGGTCTTGAAAGAACAGATGACTGCAAAGGTTTTAATAACCTTTTTATTTTAACTGGAACTGAACAAAAACGCACTCACTCTGTGCTACAATTTAACCGCTACTTCTGCTAAGTAACCTGAACAGAAAATATGATGTACACTGCGAAAAAAAAAATGAGACAGTTCTACGTCTCCCGTTCTACTGGGTCGATTGACGAAATTCCACTTTCGTTTTTCATGTCTCGAAAGCGCGACGTAGGATATGCATTAGATTTATACATAGCATTGTTCTAACATAGATATTTTGACACAAAATCGGACTTTTTCTGAAATGACATGGCAATCGCTTTCCATATTTCAATTCTACGACTAAAATTACGCTAAACTGCCAAGTTTGGCGTAATTTGAGTCGTGAGAATTCTGTGTACGAAATTCATATTTCGGTACTTTTCCGTTTCGTCGGCGCAAATCTCGCCAAGCAGACTTTATTGGCGACAACACACAGTATACACATAAAAAATATTTAAAAAAATGTTAGTTCTAAGAATTTTTTATTTTGAAGGCATAAACATTTTAATATCGCTTAAAATTTTATAAAAAGCCAATAAATGAAGACAACAAATTTGTAAAAAAACATTAATTTAAGAATTTACTATGCTTTCATGGTTCAACATCCTGATTCGCCGGTTCATATCACGTGACCCAAGTGATCTCATCTCATGTAAACTACTCTACAAAAATCTAATGCTCTTAGTAATTATCTACATTAATTTCAAGTTAAATCTTAATTTGGAACACAAGTTTATATGCGAGAAATATTTCAATTCGTACGAATAGCTTACTCAGAAATTATGTAAAACTGCAGTGCTTTACTTCGCTAATGCATTCTCATTAGAATTGATGAATTTAACCCTTGACTTTACCTTTTCTATATTTTCGGTTTCGGGTAAGCGCTGTGATTGCATCCTAATTGACTTAATTATCGAAAATAGCCTTAGACATAAAACTGTACTATCTGATAAAAATCCTATGTAATTATATGCCAGTATTGAAAGAAACAATCAATCTGATAAGAAAAAGCTGCGACTTGTTTCGAAAATGAGGCGTAAAAGGTTACCAGCGAGAATATTCCGTTTGGCATCGTTTGTACCATTATTGGCGACTTTATCGCTTGCGCCGGCATAACGGAAAAGTACCCATATTTCTTTTTTACTACTTTTTAATTAAAATAAAAATTTTATGCTAGATTAACTCAAGCAAAAACAAAAGTGAATATATTATGAAATACCTATTAAATATCTGCTACAAGCACAAACAAAAATAAAAATACGCATCACATAAAATATTTGTTAAAGCTTTGATATCAAATAAAAAGCAATAAACAAATTTTCAAAAAAGCTGCCGTATAACACTATGATCAAGAGGCGTCCAGAAAGATTCCGTGATATAGATTAAACACGATTTGGCAAAATACAATTTAATTTCATTCGTTAATGAGCATTACATCCCCTTCAAAGTAATCCCCTCCGACTATAATGCATTAAGTCAACATCCCCCCCCCAGTACTCAAAACATGTCTTGAAATGTTCTTCGTGAAATCTCTTTAAGATCGACAAAGAATTTCCTTAAAGCGTGACGCAAAGCAGCATTTTTACCAAGGAAATTAAAAAAGAAGTCATACAGCGCTATGTCAGGCGATTGGTATGGTTTATTTGATTATGACAAAACACACAAGGGGCTATCTGCCTAAGGGAAGGGATGCCATCGTGGAGAACTTTCTAAGGGA